ACATAAGAATATCTTTTCAAGATGCAGAAAACAACACCCTCAAGTTCATGTGCAAAGTATTATTTGCATGCATTTGATGTTTACAAGTTAATAAAGCCAAATTTAAACTACAAATCAGATAGAAAATTATATTTTTTAATCAAGTTTATTTGATATTCTTCTAATTGTTCTCAATTGCATTGAGTGAAGTAGAATGTTCTGTGAAACACAAGGACCACAGATATCTCGAACAAAGACCACCGCTTCTTCCTCCATAATTCTAAATGCGAAAATCCCGTTACAGAAAGTCACGCATCACTTACAAAACACGTGTGCCTGGTTACCAAGCGGTCGAGTGAATGACGGTCGAGTAAAAGTTTAGCGTTCAAAAAAAATTCGAGAGTTCGCACTCATTTGAAATCGGGTGTAAACTAACAGAGCAATTGAAATTGGAAATGAAGAAAGAAACTACGAAATAACATGCATATTATGTCAACATGTCGCGATCGCTTACTGAATGTGATCGAATGCGAATTGAATGCAAATGTGATCGAATCGATTACTAATTGTGATCGAATGTCGTTTACTAACCTTGTTAGTTCGTTGTTAGTTGTTCTGCTATAAGACTCAACTGACACTAGTAGCACAATAGCAAGCTATATTTATCTTGTTGAGAAATTCCGAGCGTACCACGAAATCACATTACCACGAAAAAACTCGTTCATTTCTTGAAATAATAAATGTTAATCAAGAATTGAGCATCAATTAGGATAAAGTAACAATATTTTAGTTTATTTGTGCAAACGTTTTATATTCAAAATCAGTAAGGTTAGTAGAGCATGGAGGTTGTTTTTCCATGCCGTTTCCTGTTGCCTTCGGGTGAACTTCAAGGAGAACGGTTCAGCAAACAGATCATTAATTCATCATTAGAACTGTAGAGTTCAAATAGAGCGGCTTTCGCTACCTTGCGATATACTTTAACTTATTTTTAGGGTATATAGTTATCAAAAACATGTGAAACGGAGCAGCATCACTGCTGTTGTTCGTAATCAGTTCACTATTGCTTGTTATTTAAATTTGATATTTTGGATGTAAACAAACTAACGTCATTGTGCGCTCAATGTTTCATTTACAGGATGTACGCAGACTATACGCCCACCTGTCAAGAGAGAAAGGATAGAAGGTCCTCTAGTCATTTCAATGTACTGATTAGTTTTCTGATGAGTTGCAGTACATCCAGCCATCAAGTTCTAGGAACTCTCTATAAATAGGCAAAACAAATTATTATTTACATTTCCTATAGTAATTGGAAGTATTTTATTTTTTAAGGATATTCTCATGTGTGAACTCTCGCGTACTATGTGTCAGTATGTAAGAAGACTTGTATAATCACGTCTCGTGCCCGCTTAGTTAAATGAATAGTTTGTCGCTAATTTTAAACCAAAAATGTCGTTAGAACTGCACATCCATCGTTTTTTTTTGGTAACATGTCCTCATATAGATACTTTCTTGACGTCATGAAACGTTCAAAACCGGCTTTACAGTTAGCCCACCCGCGTGCTTGCTTTTTTTTTGTCTACTTGAGTTTTGTCGATAAACATTTCGTGAGCAATTTTTTACATTGGCATTATGACTGAATAAACCATTTTTTGCCTTTTCATCTGTTTGATGATTTTCATTACTTGACTTATTAATTCAAGTTAATCAGGATATATATGATAAGCAATAAAATGTTACCCGTTATCATTAAAAGTGGTAATATCTCTATCGAAATTTCACCACCGGTATGTAGTGTATGTATTATATTATATATTTCAGGGTTTTTTTTTTCAATATTTAGGTGGGTGGGTCAATTAGAATTTCCTGCTTTTTCTCTTTATTCATTGAGCCACAAACGGGAACTTCCTGTTGTTTACGTCCATTAAATGCTAAAAATATCATCACTTAGCAACAAATAATATTTGTTTGACTGAACCCAGCTAATAATAAGAGTTGAACAGTTGACATTGGAAATGAAAAAAGAAACTACGAAATAACATGCATATTATGTCAACATGTCGTGATCACTTACTGAATGTCATCGAATGCGAATTGAATGCAAAATGTGATCGAAGTCGTTGTACTAACCTTTTGATTCATCTGCTACAAGACTCAACTGACTTTAGTAGCACAATAGACAGCTATATTTATCTTGTTGAAAAATTCCAAGACGTACCACGAAATCACACTACCACGAAAAAACGCGTTCATTTCTTAAAATAATAAATGTTAATCAAGAACTGAGCATCATTTAGGATAAAGTAACAATTTTTTATATTTTAGTTTATTTGTACAAGAGTTTTAAGATATATATTCGCAATCAGTAAGGTTAATAGAGCTTGTTTTCTCATGCCGTTTCATGTTGCGTTCGGGTGCACTTTGAGGAGAACGGTTCAGCAAACAGATTGTTATTTATCATTAGAGCTGTAGGCCACTGTAGAGTGCAAATAGAGCGGCTTGTGTTACCCTGCGATATACTTTAACTCATCTTTTTCTTAGGGTATATAGTTATCAAAAACATTTCCATGTGTCTGGATACCCAAACACATGGATTTGGATATCTAAACACACGGGTTTGGAACTAATTAGCATTCGATGTTGGATCATGGTATCCAAGGGCATGCACGTGACTCTAAAATAAACATCCGATTGGACTATGAAGTCATGAATTCTTAATGAGTTTGAGAAGAAACACATAAACGAGGTCTCAAAGACCAGCCTCCGTAAAGTAAACTTGGTGTCTTGCTAGAGTGTTTTGTTATAAATGACATATCAGTACATCTATCAACTTTGACAATGCCATACACTGGACGAAAAAATGGATATTCACAACATTGTGAAAGTATAGTAAATATGTAGTGAATATCACATTCACTCACATTGATTCATATTTGCACCGGTGCAAAAAAGGCCTTGGTGGTCTCGTTTTTATGATTCGTCACTTATCCTCCGATGTTGACGGCCGTGAACTACCGCCATTTTTCAAAGTCGTGTAAATCACCGACTACCCTGGTTCCAGAGGCTTGTCTTTTATTCTTTTGCTTAATACTATGTTATCGAGCCGCGAAGCGGCAAGACGTTTCCGTTAATCAGTTTGTTTTTTTCACCAAGCCTCTGGTCACAAGCGTAGTAAATCTCACTTTCATGCTGTATTCAAGCAAACCAATCACAAATCGGAGTAATATGATCTGTTATCTGTCATGAACTCTTATTGGTTCATTTATTTGACATGTTTGACAGCTACAACACTCCGATTTGTGATTGGTTTGCTTGAATACAGCATGAAAGTGAGATTTACTACGCTTGTGACCAGAGGCTTGGCGAAAAAAACAAACAGATTAACGGAAACGTCTCGCCGCTTCGCGGCTCGATAACATAGTAAGCAAAAGAATATAAGACAAGCCTCTGGAACCAGGGTAATCACCGACGTCAATATTGAACCTATAAGTTATATAAAGTTTCGCGTAATGCGTATCATTCCATGATCATACGCTTTGTCATTAATTTATAATATATTTGAGTGATAATCACTTACCAAAGGATTCCATCAGAGGACGAGCACACTCTATGTAAAAAAGTGTATATGTAAGTGAGCTCGTAAGTGCTTAGTGCCGTTTCCTGCAAACGTCTCATAGACCACACAAACTCCGATAATCACTTTCAGTTGTCCTCTTCCAATTGTTGCTAAGCTGATGTTATTTATTTGGTGCTTCGCCGCGCGATGTTTTTTTGTTGCATTTTCAAATATTTTCCAGGAAATATTTTGTCGCGCTTTGAATGAACAAGTTAATCCTGGATATTATACTTACTCCCTAGTGGAGTGTTTCTGCAATTCTAAACAGAAATTTGTTATCAGATTTTAATTGAATCTAAATAAATGTCAGAAAAGCTGCTTTTGTCAGAAGGGATAGGGATACCAATTATACCAACTCTAATGAATGAAAAGTATTTGGTATAACTTTATGTTTCGGAGCTTAGTGATGACATGGTTGCACTCGCCTCTTGCAATTGAATTAAGTTATATCGAGCTAATTCGAATGAAATACAACCAATTTTTTATCAATTAAGATTTCCATAATATAACACCAAATAGGAAATAAAAACTGTAGATGCTACATAACATGTTTATTGGCGTGTGTTCAATGCCGTATGATAAATGGATCAACTTAACTGGATGATAATCAGGAAAACCTAAACAGAAAAAACACACACATAGAACATTTACGAACATGAATAAACGAAAAACAAACAGAAAGAAAGAGAAAATGCATACTAACCAAATATGACCAACACAAACAATACAAGACTCAAGGCTCTGCGACCAACGCACGCACACCTCACAATACTTAAAACATGGAACAGGACACTAGACATGACACAATTGTCTGGCAATTTAGAAATATCACACGAGGTATTTATCCCAAATACGACTACAAAATCTGCTATTGCCTATACTAATACATCATAAATCCATATTGTGTCTACTCACCCATGAGATGTTTTCCTTCCCACGTATGAGATATCACTGACATATATTTTTGTAAGTATCAAAGAGAATGCTAAAATGGCTGCAACCATCTGTACRAAGATCACAAAAACGGCACTGATTATGCGSARYAAGGCAATCTGCTTTGTCCCAGTTGCTTGTTTCACTTCCATTGTCTGTCCAAAGACYCTCAAACTTAGCAAAGCGGCGTTAATGCCATACAAGCACGATGACCCGACAAGCCAGTCATTCTCTATGATCCGTGACGTAACTGACCACGTGACAAGACGGAAAATGAAAGTAATGACGTACAGAACTATCGTGAGAGCATCAAGTTTGTTCCAAAAATCGCTAAGAAAAGAAATGCAGAAATTTAAACCGCCTCTGTTTATATAATAACGAGACAATAAACGTGTGGAAATCCACACACCGTTTTTTTCACATTTTAAAGTTTCACTTCTTGATATCACCTTGCTTTATTGTAAAAACTCGTTGAAATACTCTCTGGCATGGTACTCACTTTGAGTAGTTTGTTTTTAGGCCATGTTTTTCATCTTTTTCCAATAGGAATTGATCGATTTCCTGCATGAACCTTCCAATAAAGAACACCATGATGAACCATTCCAGAACACTTAATCGTAG